ACTACACAGACTTGATGAGGTGAACTTCAGGATGTAAATTTGGATTACAGATGAAATAATTAAAATGGGTCAATAGCCAATGCCATGTGTATCTGTGTGCCTGAGAGAGAGGATTTAGAAGAACTGATCACAGAGCACTAGCAACATGATCATCCCCTTTGTGGCAGGATGTACTTCCTTCTGTCTGTGATAAATGACAGGGAGCCAAACTTGAAACAGTGACACCCCAAGGTCATCTGCCAGAAAGAACCTCCATTTAACAACTGGCTCAATCTTAACATTTGGATCTCCTTCCTTTCATCTCTTTTCAGAAGTTCTTCCTCTTCTCAGAATGCAAGCTCCTTCACCGAGGCACCATGTCCCCGCCAGCGGGCGGACAGTCCCCGTACTACGTCTGGGCTGGTGGTGTGGGGTGGTCCTCGTAATAGGAGCAGTGGAGACCAAGGTATCTATTTTCCCTTCTGGAAGGCAGGGAGAGATGTGTATATAAAGCATTCTTAAATGAAAATAGCCACACTGGCGTTCCTTTTCTAGCCTCATTACAGGCTGTGATTACTGATCCCTCTTTTGGGACCGTGGGTGGCTGTTTGGTGATGTCCGGAACACGTAGCCCCAGCCGTCCCCTCAGCCACACGCCCTGGGAGCCTTCGGGCTTGAGCTCCTCTCTGCCAGCTAATTGCCACTTGTCGAGACTGCCAGCCTCACTTCAGGGTAATTCATCAGTGTGTGGCTAATCGTCCCTGTCACAGAGAAGGGGGAAAGTTGACTTGAAACACTTTGAACAAAGGCGACATCTGAGGGCTTATTTGATGAGTCTTTGTGACAACGGCAGGTCATGGCCATGCAGCGGAGACTCCAGCGCTGCCAGAGGAGCCTGGGTGACTCACGAAGGAGGGCACTCCTCCCGAACGACAGGACATTCCCTTCCGCTGGAGAGAACCAGGAGAGGCTGCCCATGCACACAGCAAGGCCTGAGGTCTCCTCAGTTCTTGGAGCTGGAAGGAAGTGACCTCTAACCATGATTTTTGTGTTCAGTTCTCCCTTCTTTCGGTTCTTTTCATTAAAACGGTTCCCTGTTTATCCTTCCTAGCTCCTCTGATTCCTCCCGAGGTTGGAGAAATTGTTCCAGGCAGCTGAGAGCTGATTCTGTCAAATGGCTGGGGCTTCTGGAAGGCCTGGAGCCTTGGGCTGCATGGGAGGAAGTGACCTCACGGCCACGGGGCCTTGCCTCTGATGGAGCCTCTGCATCTCCATGGGGCTTTCCCGGAGGTGTGAGGAGGACACCCCTGCCTCCTCCGCCATGGGGAGGAACCATGGAGGGGCTCAGGAGGACCCCTCCTCACCCCTGTCCCCACCAGGCACTGCTTCAGAGGGAAAAGGTGCCCAATCCCTGCTGCTCGCTTCGGACAGTGGTGCTGGTATCATTGGTTCAACAAACCACCATCATACCTGCTTCTACTTCACATAAATTCTGATTCTCACAGCCCTTGTTCTTCCTCATTTCACAAAACAGCAGCTCCCCCAGCTGTCCACCCTCCAGCCCGCCTCACCCTAGAGCTCCTGTGTCTCACATCCACATACCGAGTCCCGCCAGTTCAGCCCCACGGTGGTTCCCAAGGGCCGCCAGCTCTGACTTAGGCATCCCTGGTCCCAGAACAGCCCAGTCTGCCTTGAGGTTGGACAAATCAAGCTACAATGCAAATCTGATCGTTTTCTTTCTTGGCTTAAAATCCTCCACAGAGGGCACCTGGGTGGCTCAGTGTTGAGCATCTGCCTTCAGCTCAGGTCATGATCCCGGGATCCTGGGTTTGAGCCCGGCATCAAGCTCCTTGCAGGGGGCGTGATTCTCCCTCTGCATCTCTCATGAATAAATAAAAATAAAATCTTAAAAAAAAAGTCCTCCACAGGCCACAGTCTCAAGTCCAGGGCTGGCCTCTGGCCATAGCCTTGCCCACCCCAGAGCCCACAGACCCCATTAACAGTCTCTCTCATGACAAGGTGCCATGGGTTTGCTCGTGCGGTTCCTGCTACGTGGAGGATGACAGAAAAGGGAGGTCCTCCCCGTGGGCATGACCTGGAACATCTCCTTGTCCAGCATGCATGGGGCAGGTGGCCTGGTGGCAGGGTCCACTCTGAGCCCTGAGGAAATGGTCAGGGGCCCAGTTGCCTGGGTAGGGATCAGGAAACAGCAGTCAGAAGGTTAGTGACAAAGAGATTTGGGAAGAGCTGCATCGGCGGAACGCAGGGGGACCAGAGGAACCAAAGTCTGAAAATACTCACATTCCATGTGAATGCTTGCAACTGGCCGAAAGTCCGCATCCCCCTCAAATTCATATGTTGAAATCCTAACCCCCAATGTGATGCATTAGGAGGTGGGGCCACTGAGAGGGGATAAGGTCACGCGGGTGGAGCCCTTAGAAATGGGACTGGTGGCCTCATAAGAGACCCGAGGGCTCTCCATCCACCACATAAGGGCACAGTGAGAAACTGCCAGCATACAACTGGAAAGTGGGCCTTCCTCTGACTCTGGCCATGCTGGCACCCTGATCTCAGACTTCCAGCTTCCAGAGCCCTGAGAAACCAACTTTGTTGTGTATAAGCCACCCAGTGTGTGGTATTTTGTCATAACAGCCTGAATGGACTGAGATAATGTTCCTCTGAACCCCTCATCTTGGCACCAAAGAGAATTCTTCAAACCAGGGCAGGAAGGGCTGCCCTCTGGACACCGGGTCCTTCTCCCATGGGCAGCACAGTGTCTGTTCCAAAGCCTTCCAGGACACACCAGTCTGGGGGTCAGGGAGAAAGGTACCATGTGACCTTGACCATCCTTGCTCCTGCTCTCCATGGCCACTGGATCTCTGACTCGCTGAGTGCCAACCACAAACAGGAGTGAGTGAGCCCCAATTCTGCATCATACCCCTAAGTGATTACCGGCTTGGTGCAAAGCTAACTGCATTGGGCACCTTCATCCAGAGCAAATGGGACTCATCCTCCCTTGATAGGCTCCATGGTCTGTCATGGCTGTGCCAGCCCCACCACTCAGAGACTTGCTTAACGTCCTTTGTGCCACATAGCACAGCCTCAAGCCAGCAGACTCACTTCTCCACAAATGAAAGGAAGCAAGGGTCTGATAACCCTGGGATTCTCGGTCTTCCCACCTTATAGAACTCTGCTGTGCTGCTGCTGGAACACACACTCTCCAGACTGGTGGGATGTGGTGCTTCCCCTCAGGGGTACAGCGCACAAGTCTGGGGACCAAGGGACATCGCTTCCCACAATTATACCCAATGGCCCAGAGTCAAGAATCCTGCTACCTTCCCTGTTTCAGGGCCCTGGTGAACTGAAGGGAAGGTTTTATTTATTATTTTTTTTTAAGATTTTATTTGAGAGCAAGAGCACAAGTTGGGAGAGGAGCAGGAGAGGGAAAAGCAGGCTCACCACTGAGCAGGCAGACGGGACACGGGGCTTGATCCCAGGACCCTTAGATCATGACCTGAGCTGAAGGTAGATGCTTCACCAACTGAGCCACCCAGGTGCCCCTGGGGGGCGGGGGGGTGTTAGTCTCTAGAAAAGGATACTTCTGTGAGCAAGTGGCATGAGAAGGATGTTTAGAGTGCCACCAGGCCATTTTGGGTCTCTGGGGCTTCTTAGGAGGTGATGTCCACATGGAAGTACCTGAGGAAGAGGAGAGTCTGTGGGGTGTCCTCCATCAGGGGCTCATTTCTGTGGAGGTAGGATGGCTGGATCCATGGACTGCAGGCCTTTGTGCCCAAGCATGTATGTGCCTGTGTATGTGCCTGTGTGCCCAAACATGTGTGTCTAAGCGTGTATGTGCATGTGTACCCAAGCATGTAACTGTGTGCATACACGCCCAAGCGTGTATGTGCGTGCATGCCAAAGTGTGTATGTGTATGTACGCACACAGCACATCCACACACTCTGGACAGATGTGAGGTGCAGATCCGCAGGCCCCTGCAGGGTGGCGTCCTGACTTGTCTTAATGGCCCCTCTTTGCAAGCTGTCATCTGTATACACAGGGAACCCAAGCAGTCAAGTCCATCGTAAGTGACCCTGTCAAGTCCCCAGGAGTCTGGAATTTCGTAAATGCCTCTCAGAATGGACCACGGCCCTGCATCCTTAGCACCTAGCATACTGTTGGCCCAGCGAGAGCTCAATAAATATGTTCAGGGCCATGGTCTAGAGAGAAACACTCCTTAAGCCAAGTTTCCTGAGCCAGACTGGCTCTGGGCCTTCCCTTTCAATTCTCCCTAGGATTCTCTGGGACCCTCTGACATCCTTCCAGTAAGTTCCTGTGTCATGTAAACCAGCCAGTCTTGGAGCTCTTCCAGCATCCTATGAGGAAACCTACTCACTCAAACAAGCTCTGGGTCTGTTAATCAGCTGGACGAGGCCTCTCAGAGATGGTCAGTTTGTCCCCGCAGACCTTGGGGCTCTCCAAGCCTGTGGTCAGTCCTGATCCACTCTTAACACCTTTCTGACTGTATACAGAGTGTGTGTTAAGCCCTTGAGAGAATCAAATCAAAGTTATGAATACCTTCCCCAGAAAAAAGAAAAGCAACATGCACAGCAAATGCTGTGTGACGTTTTAAGGGGTGCAGGGACTCCAGGGCAGGAAGTGCTTGCTGTAAGTATGCAGCAGCACCTCCCTCTGCTTACAAGCTCCAGTCAGAGGGTCACTGATGCCAAGGGCTGGCAGGTGCACACTGGGCTCAGGGTGACACACACGGGAAAGGAACCACCGGCAGGGTGGCTTGCTGGGGCTGCGGTCTTAGGCTCTGCAGGAGCAGGTGTCACATAAGCCTTCCTTCCCCAATGACACCACCATTTCAAGGGACCTGGGCTTTCTAAGGGGTCACCTGGCTGGGCAGCCCTACGGCACCAGAAGGGTTGGAGAGGAATCCTGCTTACCAGTGGCACCACTCAGGCCCTTGGCATCCAGGCACCGAGGGACAGAGCATCCGACGAGAGACCCTCATTACCTTGGTCAGGTGCTGCTCCGAGGAAAACCCCAGGCCAAACACCGTGTTGGCTCTGCTGTCAGCCCACTGCCCAAACTTCTGTGACGTTTTGGTGAAGGTCATGTTGGGTGTGATGGTGCTGTTTATAATCACCTGCAGGAAAGAGCCAAAGAACAGAAAGTGAAACCCTGAATGTGCCACCCATGGAGCTCCTTACAAGCTTGGCACAGCAAGCACCTAACATGTGCATCCTGGCACTGCTACACTTGCCCCTGGGACCTCCTGGCACATCCTATGCCGAGTCCAATACATGACCACGATAAGGTGTAATTGAGTTAAAAACAGACAGTCACTCTAAAATAGACCTTACAGCTAGTGGGAGAAAGCATGCCCTAAGGAGAGAATAGTTTCCCAAACTGCTATTTATTTCCTCAAAGCTCTCCTACCTCCAACGGCCCTTCATGGTCATTTAGCCCTGCCCCACACTCTCTGAGACACTGTGCTATGCACTCTTCTAAGCACCTGGAGCCACCGTGTCCAGCTCAAACAACTTAAAATCTCCACCAGCAATTGGGATTTGCTGTTTCCTGACAAGAAGGAAAAGGTATGGGGCACCTGGGTGGCTCAGCGGTTGAGCATCTGCCTTTGGCTCAGGTTGTGATCCCGGGGTCCTGGGATCCAGTCCCACATCAGGCTCCCCTCAGGGAGTCTGCTTCTCCTGCTGCCTGAGTCTCTGCCTCTCTCTGTGTGTCTCTCATGAATAAATAAATAAAATCTTAAAAACAAAAGAAAAGGTATATTCCAATCAGGATCATTTGTGAAGGGTTAATTTACAAAGAAAGTAATGGTACATGTATGAGCTGGTTGTAGAGAAGCCATAGTGATGGTATAGGGACTTGGCGCTTAATGTTACCCCCTCCTTGGCCTAAAAGGATGAGGGGAGGAAGAGGTTACAGATTATGGAGGACCAGAGTCACGGACAGCAGACTGCCTTGATATACGGGTACATGCATGGCTTTCCCCAGGAGGGGAGCCCGGGGAACAGACCCTCACTCCTCCCCTGTGGTCTCCTGCCCCTGGCCAGACCCAATCAGAAGCCAGAGGCCCCATGGACCAAGTGCTGGACTCTGCAGGTCAGCCTCTCGGAGACCACAGCATGGTAGGAAGGATGGAGAAAGAAGTTGGAAGGGATATCCAGCACATGGCATGTTCATGCATTCAACATTTACAGAGAACATTTACTTGTCAGGCGTTCTGTTAACCAAAGACAAGAGATGAACAAGTCAGGATTCCCGATCTTCTCATTGCAGTTGCAGGAAGTCAGGAAGAGGGTAGAGACATGTAAATAAATCACCAAATAAATGATAAGCATTAGTAAATATCAATGATAGGCTCATTCTGGCAGAAATCCTTCAAAGCTCTAAGACTCTGAGAAATACTCATGAAAAATGCCCCTGGAAAAAAAGGGATGTTTGCTAACAGGCAAGAGTGGCTTACTTCCCCCATCAAACCATGTGTGATGCTCTGAGCAGAAGCAGTAGCATTCTAAGCTTGGGCACAGCTCACTCTGTCGCACTTCACTTTATCACACGCCACAGAGAATTCACTGTTTTAGGTTTTTTTAAAGATTTTATTTATTCATGAGAGAGAGACAGAGAGGCAGAGACATAGGCAGAGGGAGAAGCAGGCTCCCTGCAGGGAACCCAATGTGGGACTCGATCCCCTGGAATGGGATCATGCCCTGAGCCGAAGGCAGATGCTCAACCACTAAGCCATCCAGGTGTTTCGATAATTCGGTTTTTTGTTTGTTTGTTTTTTACAAATTGAAGGTTTGTGGCAACCCTGCTGTCAAGCAAGTCTATCAGCACCATTTTCCCAACAGCATTTTTTGCTCAGTTTGTGTCTCAGTATCATGTTTGGATTATTCTTGTAATATTTCAAACGTTTTCAGTTACTCTATTTGTGATGGTCATCTGTGATCACTGACTACAACTCACGGAGAGCTCAGATAATAGCATTCTTAGCAATAAAGCATTTTTTAATTAAGACGTACTTTTTTCAAACTAATGCTGTTGCACACTCAACAGACTACAGCATGGTATAAATGTAACTATTATATATACTTAGGAAACCAAAACACTCCCTTGATGCGGTTCACTGTGACATTTACTTTATTGTAGTGGTCTGGAACCGAAGCCATAGTATCACTGAAGTGTGCCTGTAAATATTCTGAAGGATTAATCTACTGGCGGTTTTATTAAGGAAATGCTCATTCTCAAAAGTCAACTCTGAACACTTCTGATAAAGCAGGGAAGAAAAAACACTAACTGGCATGGCCTCGGTTTCCTTGGTAGGAACTTTTTTTTTTTAAGATTTTATTTATGGGGATCCCTGGGTGGCGCAGCGGTTTGGCGCCCGCCTTTGGCCCAGGGCGCGATCCTGGAGACCCAGGATCGAATCCCACGTCAGGCTCCCGGTGCGTGGAGCCTGCTTCTCCCTCTGCCTGTGTCTCTGCCTCTCTCTCTCTCATTCTGTGTGACTATCATAAATAAAAAAAAAAAAAGATTTTATTTATGTATTCATAAGAGACAGAGAGAGAGAGAGGCAGAGACACAGGCAGAAGGAGAAGCAGGCTCTCCCATGCAGGGAGCCTGATGTGGGTCTCGATCCTGGGTCTCCATGTTCAGGCCCTGGGCTGAAGGTGGTGCTAAACTGCTGAGTCACCCGGGCTGCCCTCCTTGGTAGGAACTTTAATTATTTTGCTGGACAGATTCTGGACAGTCTTCTGGACACAGATTCTTATCTTTGCCAGGCAGGAAGTTAGAGGTGCCTCTAGAAACAGAGGTATCATTGCCACGTATAAGTGAACATGCCTACTGAATTTTCTCCTTAGAAAATTAGCATTAGCTCAAGTATAAACCCTGTTTACTTGGCAAAATAATTTCTGGATGTTAATACTAACAGCAGTAATTACTATTTATCTAGCACATCTTGAGAGCTTTCCTTCTATCAGCCCACAGAAGCCTTCAAGGAGGGGTTACCCCTTGCCCCTCCACTTCACAGAAGGAGACAATGACCTGGTAAGGAGCAGGGCGTAGAGATAAAACTCAGGTTGTCTGACCAGAAACCTGCTTGTGGAACTTGTATATAATGTGCTTCTCATTTTGTGCAAGATGACCTCCCTTCTTCTTGCCCATCTGGAAAGTACAGATGCCTCCACTGCACACTGGGTTCTTTCCCTTTGACTATGATAACTCCTATAATAACAAAGTCCACAGGAGTTAAGACACGTTATCATGCATTTTTTAGATAGCTGGATGCAAGCATGGTTGGTCGGTCAAGAGCTCTGCCTGTTGTCACCTAACACTCTCAGAGATGGGGGCAGAGGAGCAGGGTGTGTGAAATGCAGACCTAAACCAGGGGCAAGTATAGAATGTTTCTCGGACCTTGGAGGCTGGCAGGGGCTGGCTCAGCCCCATGCGGGATGGGTTAAGGTGGAATCAAGGCAGGCCTAGGGCAGGTGTGTGCCTGGGCACTGGATCACAGTGGATCACATGATCCCAGAAAGCCAACCCCAGTCACCTCTGAATTACCAGGATCCTGGGATGGAAGTCTTCATGCTCCTTCACAGCAGACCTATGCCTCTAGTTAGCCTCCACATCCCTTCCCCAAAGCCCTATTGAGAGGGAGAGACTGAGTATAGGACACACCTGTGAAGCTGGCCCCAAACACACTGTCCCGGAGTCTGGCAGGCTGGAACACCAAAGGTGAGGACCCTTGGTATTCCTTTAGGATGTAATAGTTCCTAAGGCACTTTTTCATACAGTCTTCTATCTCATTCCCATTTTCATAGATGGAAAAACTGAGGTTCAACAAAGTGAAATGACACATTCAAGGCCACACAACTAGTGTGGCTAAAAGGAATATAATGCACGTACTACTTACAAGGCAATGAGTAACTGGTCTCAAGAGCTAAATCTGTAACAGTTCATGAGCTTCTGAAATCTGTTGACTCAATTTTCTTATCTTTTTTTTTGAAAAATTCTCAATCAGGGCGCCTGGGTGGCTCAGTGGTTCAGCGTCTGCCTTTGGCTCAGGGAGTGATCCCGGGGTCCTGGGCTCCAGTCTCACATTGGGCTCCCCACAGAGAGTCTGATTCTCCCTCTGCCTGTGTCTCTGCCTCTCTCTGTGTGTCTCTCATGAATAAATAAATTAAATCTTTAAAGAAGGAAAAAAGAAAATTTCTCAACCATTCTATGAGTATCACTTCTGCTGTCTCCTCTCCTCTGAGACTCCAAGGACACATATGCTAGACCAGAGTGCATCCAACATGGCTTACATTTTTACCAGCTTTTCACTCCCTGATTCTTGGTTCTCTCTGTTTCTAATCTGGATATTTTCTATTGGTCTATCCTCCAGTTCACATCCTGGCTACTGATACATCCAATCTGCTGCTAAACCTAGTCATTGACTTTTTTTTTTTTTTAGATTTTATTTATGTATTTGAGACAGAGAGAGAGAGAAAGCACGCATGAGTGGGGAGAGCAGTAGAGGGAGAAGGAGAAGCAGGCTCCCCGCTGAACAGGGAGCCCAATGCAGGACTTGATCCCAGGACCTCAGGATCATGACCTGAGCCAAAGGCAGATAGATGCTTTACTGACTGAGCCACCCAGGTGCCCCTGAACTCTTAATTTTAGACTTTGTGTGTATATATACATATATTATAATTTATTAATAGAATTATATTAATATATTATATATTTATATTATATATAGTATTATATATTATATATTATATTAATGTATATATATATTTAGTTCTAGAATGTCCATTTGCTTTTTTTTAATTTTTATTTATTTATGATAGTCACACACAGAGAGAGAGAGAGGCAGAGACACAGGCAGAGGGAGAAGCAGGCTCCATGCACCGGGAGCCCGATGTGGGATTCGATCCCGGGTCTCCAGGATCGCACCCTGGGCCAAAGACAGGCGCTAAACCACTGCGCCACCCAGGGATCCCGTCCATTTGATTCTTTAAAAAAATTCTAAGCCTTTGGGAGCTATCCTCCTTCTTGTCATCTACTTTGTCCATTTTCCTCTCTATTTACTTGGATATATTAATCATAGCTCTTTAAAAATCCTTGATGCTGACC